TCTGCTTGTACTCAGGGAAAAATTGATTATTTGACCACCCGGCTACTGTGAAAGGGAAATAGAATCTGTATTTATCCAATTTGTAAAGCAGCAAAACCTTTATATTCAAGCCAGTTACACTTTTCCCTGTTCTGGACTGGCAGAGGAGAGGAGAGGATAAGAAGTCCACAGGTCCTGAGGACTGGTGGAACCCTAGCTCAATGTCACCAGAGCTCCTGACAGCCTTCTCTGAGAAAGCACACAGGATCAGAGAGTCTGAATGAGGACAGAGCAGTGGTACCCATAAGAGGACTGTCAGGAGACACACCATCAACTTATGTAAGTTACAAGGTGCTTTTTCAAAGTAACTTGGGAATTATTTGCATTTCATAAGCAGTAAATGAATCCCCTTCCTTTGCCATCTGTTTTAGTATTAGTGTTACTGATGGCATTTTAAAATCTTTCTTTGTTGGCTCATCTTCAGGGGGAATTGTTTGATTTCTACTTTTCTGTCTCTATCATTTCACTACCACTTTCTGGTAGTTTATAATTTTTTCTAGAACTTTCAGATTACAGCTGGGCTTTCTGTAGATGGCCAAGGCTCGCACCGTGGGCAGATGTAGGGAATGGGGAAGGTCAGTGATCTTCTAACCAGCTCTCCGTCTACATTCTTGTTATGAGGTGGCAAAGAAGGATGTAACAGCAGGCAGTGAGGAACAGACAGGGTGTGGTGTATTAGAAAGAACCAGGGAAAGCTGTCATTGGACGAGGGGGCAGAGATGCAAAGGAAGTGCCCGAATCGAAAAGCTTACATAATGTGCACAGAAGGGCAAAGAACTGCAGAAGTGCATGTTTGCTGATGTTTGCAGCTGCTGCTTGCCACTGCCTATGGCCAGCAGATTCTATCAGGTCTTTATCTTCTACACTTGAGGCACATCTTACCTTGCCTTAGTTAACTCGGTCCTTGTGCTTTATCCTCTACCTCAATCCTGGGAGAAGTCAGGCCAAGCATTTACCAGAGAGAGGCTTTCTTGGTTTCTTCCAGCAATGGCAGGTCTATTCTATGCTTTCCAGGAACTGTGGCCACAGGTGGTGTTTATGTTAGTGGGTAGTTAGTTCCTTTAGAAATGTCTCGGCAGTTAAACGTATTCCAGGTCCTTCTCACCTCAATCAAAGAACGAGACAAGCTGAAAACGGTGCCAAAAGTTTATTCAAAGAGTAAGGGAGCCACTGGCTCTGCGGAACAAACTTGGACTGAACAAAAGAGGAAAAGAGCAAAGCAAAAATAAAAATCCTGAGTCTAGAAGACACGGTGGGCCACTGTGAAAGTGTCAGGATAGCAGGTTTCTAGGGTCCCCTTCTTTTATGTGATCCACATCTGGTGGGAACCTACAAGAAGTTCTGCGTATGGGGCCTTGAGAACAGTGTAGATCTTGGGATCTCACCTCGCTCTTTGTCCAGACAGCCTGAGCCACGGCCCCGTTTCCCAGCTCAGCCCTTCACGTCCCTGTCTCCTCTCTTCTTCCTGCACAGAGGGATGCTGTGTGGCACAGCCTCCTGCCGGCAGGAGGTGGGCTTGTCCTCCTCACTGTCAGATGCAAACCAAACTTCCTGTCTTCCTTTGCTCCTCCCAAAGCCAGGAGCCAAGCTGCTCCAAGCTTTTACCCCCCTGTGCCACTTTGTGTTTTGTGTCTGGCCCATAAAGGTATGTCCTCTCTCTTCTTCTTTTTAAAAACTTCTTCTTTCCTTTCCTTTACTGTCCCTTCCCTCCCCTTCCCTCCTAGTCCTTCATCATTGCTTTGTCTAGAGTGAAATGGGGCGTTGAAAGTGGAAACAAACAGTAATACAGTATGTTTACAAAAAAAAGAGACATATTCCTACTAAATATACATTGCCAATGTAAATCTCCCTAAAGTAAAATGGGCTGTCTTGTGAGTGCAAATCAAAAGTGATAGTTTGAATGATCAGCTCACAAAAAAATTTTAAAGAGAAGGCCTCCCCTTTTCTTTCTCTTGACAGGATGTTGAATTATATTTCTGCTAGATTTAATTTCCTATCAGTGAATCTGTTCTACTCATGGATATTTGTGTCTGCTGTCTGTGATCTGGGATTGTTGGGCTTTCTGAGTGTTTACATCCTTTTAAAGCCCTATAATCCCTTCTTGTAGTTTATTAAACCTCTCTACTTTCCTTGTGTTAGTTTGTATTTCTTGCAGCACAGGAACAATGTCTAGCACAGTGTCTGAACTAATTTAGCATCTGGCATTGTTTTGTTTTGTTTTGTATTTTTCCTCAACAGCAAGCTTTTTTTTTTGGTACCAGGGATCGAACTCAGGTCTTCCTGCTTGAACTCAGGTCTTAGTGCTTAGGAGGCAGGCAGCAGAACCACAGCAGCAAGCTTTATTGGTGTTATGTATAAAAGAAGAGCTAAAGAGTCCTAGGTCAAAATCTAAGCTTTTCTGTAGGAGAAAATGCTCACTTTGGGGGAATGAGTGGACTTGTTGACATTTTTATAGATCTGGATTTTTAGGGTACCTTATTTTGTGCTGTATCAGAAGGTGAATATAACTTTAAACATCTTTAGTAGGTGGGCAAGCTGTACATCCTGGGAGGGAGTCGCCGTGGAGGGGGAAATATTTTAGATGGAAGTCAGAGGAATGGTACTACTTTGACTCTGCCACTTAAGTAGAGCTGAGAATATTACATGATCTCTCTATAACCAGATAAATCTATAAGCTAACTGAATTTCATTCAGTAACTTCTAAGATTTATCTGGCTTCAAAGATTCCAGAATCACGTGTCACTGCCTCCAGGATCATCAGGCTGTATCCAGACCTGGGTTGAGGTGTTTACTTAAGTAAAGAGTGGTGTGGTTAAGAGTTGGTCATACCTAATTTTGAATGCCAGTTTTGCTGATAAACAGTGTGATAATAAAACATCACTTAACCTTTTAAGTTTCAATTTGCTTATCTACAAACTGAAAATGAAAATTATAGTTATCTAGTTTTAAAGTTTAGCTGGATAATTCATTGAAAAGACTTTGCTCAGGCATAATATCTAAAAAGCAATAAAAAATGTCATCTTTTTATTATTGTAAACTCTTTGAGAGTAGCCGTTTTACAATATTTTTAGTCTAACTCATTTATCTCTATTTCAGTTGCTTAGGCTTGCGTTTTACATGTAATAGTGCTCATTAAATGTGCTAGTAAAGTATTAAAAACATGATTATAATACAAATGTGAAATGAATACAAATTAAAATTCTTCTTGGATCTTAAATGAGGGAACAAGAAGGATGTTAAAGCTGATTTTTCAGAGAAAAGTAGAGGAAAAGACATGTAGTTTCTATCAGAGTATTTTTATAAGCATAAGACAAAAATTGGTTAATGACCAGTAGAGCATTAAAATTATAACTTTTAATCTTTTCCTATTAGTATATGTTTGTGGTATATAGCTGATACATATAAACATCAAATTTTGATCCTTTTTTCTTCCACTTTCCTATCTTCCCATTTTTTGGAATGTCCCTTTCATTCTCTTTATTCAGAGTAATCTCCCTCAATCCCTAGATCTCTTTTTATCTTCATAGTTTATCTTCTTGTCTCTTATCATGTGTCTTTTATCTTATTTTAAAAATAATTTATACTTTAGGTTTCTCGTGTAAGAGAAACCACATGATATTTAATATTCTGTCTAATTTATTTCACTTAGCATTACAGTCTCAAGATGTATCCATTGTCCTACAAATTACTAAAATCTATCCTTATTTATGGCTTAGTAATATTCTATTATGTATGTGTACCACATTTTCTCTATCAGTACATGTGTCGATGGGCATTTAAACCACTTCCAAGGTTTAGCTATTGTGGATTGTGCTGCTATAAACATAGGTGTGCATATGTCACTGTAAAATGATGTTTTTAATTCTTTTAGGAAGATACCCAGAAGAGGTATAGTGGGTTGAATGGAACTTCTATTTTTAGTTTTTAGAAGAATCTCTGTACTGATTTCCATAGTGTTTGTCCCTTTTCACATTCTAATCAATAATATATAAGGGTCCCTTTTTCCCCAAAATCTTGCCAGCATTTGTTCTCTGAGTTCTTGCTGAGAGCCATTCTTTATGGAATAGAACGGGATCTCAGTATTGGTTGTGCCTATACAGGAACAGAGGATGTCTTTCCATTTTTTAGATGTTTTCTTCTTTTATTTTTTTCAGAGTTACCTTTTCTTCTTGACATTTGCATTTCTACATGGTTAAAATATGCTATTTCTAAGTTTTGAGTAATTTTTCTATATAGCTATGGCCAAAATATTAATATTTATCTTAGAAAAAATTAAATGGGATATCTGACTCTGCTATGTATCTATTTTTTTGCCTAAGTGTATTATAAATACTAGGTACATCCATACTTATATTTTTATAATGTTTCATTAAAGAGGACATAGGTATACTCAGAAGAAAACTACTAATTTCCAACTTGGTACAATAGAGGCTTACAGGCCATGGCCATGTTAACAGGGCTTTATTTTATATACATTTTAGTTTAATCTGTAAACAAACTTGGAAGTAGATATTATTATCCAATTTGAAAATCAGCAGATAAGTATCACTGATCTAAAATAATTTAATCAAGGTTATACAACCCGTATGAGCCAGAATTAAAATTCATTCTAATTTTGAGTCTTTTGTTCTGTCCTTTGTCCTATTATATTACCTTCTTAAATCTTAAATTCTCCTAAACTTTAAGGTACATTTCTAACTAAATACACAGATGAATGGTTCTTATTTTGCTTATAGGATCAAGCATGCACAAAATGGTCTTTTTCCCAATAAGAGGCTTACCATTTTCAAAGTCCTATGGGAGTTCCCCTTTCCATATTCTACCTACTGGATTAAAGTGTATTCTTTAAAGAAAAGTGAAACTATTCTGTTTATCTTTTTACAGTCTCTTCCTCTCAAGTTGCCTTCTGTATAACTTACTTTTCTTTCTTTTCTCTCTTCTGGTCCCTGATACGTCTGTAGGTGGGCTGGATTCTTTCCATCCTGGATGAACTGCAGCTGAGCCCCCAGCCTCCTGTGGGGGTCCTTCCTCTGGGGACAGGGAATGACCTTGCTCGGACTCTCAACTGGGGAGGGGTAAGGACCCCTCCCAGAGCCTGGCCCCGCCATTGAGGAACGAATAGCGTCCAGGTGTTGGATGTGCTCAGGAGCAGCCCCATGGAAGCAGTCTGCTGCCACTGTCCATGAAATAAGTTAGAAATGGGAATCAAAGTGCCTGTGAACCTTAATTTTATTGAATTTTTTCATAAAAACATTGGGAGGCAAAGAGAAAGCCTAGTATAAGAGAAATGTATAGTTAGTGCACAGGCCTAGGACTTCAAGGCATCAAACAACAGGGCACAATGGGCTGGTTCCAAGGCTATGTGTAAAATTATCTTACAAATTTGAAATCATACTGACCCTCAGCTCTGCCCAGAATAGCCCATCTGGTTTAGATTCCCACCTAAGCATTATGACATTTTTTGAGATGTTGGGTTTTTCTGCTCAGTGTTATCATAGCTTTGGCTATTCAGGTATCTGACTGTCCTTCCCCCTGTGGCACCCACTGCAGGCAAGTGTGGGAGATGCACCTTACCTATGACTAGCCATTTCGCTTACTCATTTTATTGGACTAAGATAGTAAGAAGGTACAATACACTAACATATACAGAATTATCCCCTTTTTATCTGTTAAGGATAGAACATTGCTTGGGCTGGGATCTCTCTCGTGAAACTTTATTTTGGATGTCTAGCAGATATTAATCTGGCCTTTGGATGAATTCACCTTTCATAGGTTTTTGTTTTGTTTTGTATTAGGAAGGCAGAATATAAACTAATACATGTATGTGAGATAACTAAGGTATTATCAGTGCTAATTTCTCACATCCAAATCAACCGAATCGACCTTAATAATCATGCTGTCAGCAGTGGATCCTCAAGCAGTAAGTAGCTCTCTAACAGGACTGGTCCTCAGTCTGACCTGTTTGAGGTCATGGAGGGATGGGGTCCTAAGATAAGGTTATGGAAGAGTGAGTGAGATGGAATGTTAATAGGAAAAAGCTGCTGATCAGATCCTGTCTTGCTTGATTTTCCCTTTTTCACATACATCTGTTGTATTTATCACTAAAATTCCTCCATTAAGAGTTATGAGGAGCCCATTTTTTACTCCAATAAAAGCAGCCATCTAGCATGACCCTCAATGCTTATCAGTGACTATTGGTTCTCCTGTGATGGTAAAAATTATCTCTCACCTCAAACCAACCAGAGTTGGTGTTTTGTATATGTGACTATTATCATAAGTTCTGAGTGACTCAAGAAAAGCAATTCACCCTCCTATCCTTTCTAATTACAAAATAAGCAGAATTCATCACAGAAACACTCTTCTACCATTGGTTACTCTTTCTACTGACAGCAATGGGTATGTTTTCTGATTCTGTTGCCAGGGCTACACTGATGAACCTGTTTCTAAGATCCTGTGCCAAGTAGAAGATGGGACAATTGTACAACTTGATCGCTGGAATCTCCATGTAGAAAGAAACCCAGACTTGCCTCCAGAAGAGCTTGAAGATGGCGTATGTAAGGTTAGAAAGGTTTTTCTTTGTAAGGATAGAGTTCTGTAGCATCTTCCTTGTCCCCAGAAAATGCATATCTGCTTGTAGAGTTGCTTGGTGGTTCCACCCCAAAAGATAACGGGAAAGCTCTTTAAGTTTATGCCTCCCATCCTTAGGATGAAAGGTAATAACATACTGATCCTGCCCCATAGATTTTTACAGACTCAGATTTTGTACTTAGCTCTAGTACTCAAAGAGCTGTTCTCTGTCTCTTCACCTTCCACATTAGAAAGGTATGTATCCATTTAAAAAATATTTTCAAATCAATTGTAAAGAACCTATAAAAAATGGAGAATGTATGTGCTCAGAAGATTTTGATACATGAGCTTCCAGCATAAAGATGATGAGATTTTGGCCTGTTATCAAATATTGTTTAAACGTAGGAGGGCTTATCTAAGTCAGTTTCATTACCTGGTTCAGAGTCTAAGATGTCTAAATAAATGTTTGCTTTAGTATTTTCTTCTAGTGACTCGACTTTTATTTCACCCCACCCCTCTCCACCCCAAACTAAACCAAAAGTCATATTGTAAGTGAACATTTGATCCTAAGTTCTGGCCTCAATTTCTGATAAATTTAATAGGCTGCTGAGGAAACTTTCTTCATATTATTTTCCACTTTTCTTCTGTGATGATGTTTTCAGATGTTTGCATGCATAAGAATCTCCAGATGTGCTTGTTAGAATGCAGATTTGAAGCTCACTGTCCAGACATTCTCATTAAGTAAATCCAAGAATAAGTCCCAGGTATCTGTATGTTAAGTAATGTCTTTGCTTTGTTGAACCATACCATTGATTGTAACCAAAATTTCACAGAGGGTGAGGCAGGAAGATTGCAACTTTTAGCCCAGTTCAGCCTGGGAAATTTAGCAAAACCCTGTCAGAATTAAAAACAAATTTAAAAGCCAGTGGAAATGTAGGTTAGGATGAAGGTCTGAATGAATCCTCAGTAGCACAAAGAAAAAAAGTATGTCCCATTCTTAAGATAGATTGAACTCCATGTTATTTTAGACCAAACCAAGGCCTATTTATTCTTGACCAGTTGTATAGAAGCTCAAGTTTCTTACTTGGCTAAGCCATTTGGTTTTACCTTGTCCTCATTGTTTTTCACCTAAATTGTGATCCTGAAATGAGTAGTTTTCTGTAAGTATACCAATTGCTCAGTTGCACTAGAATTCCTAATGTAACAATACTGTTTAATAACAATGGATGTGATACTTTTACCTAATGTGTTTGGTCGAACTTGTAGAAATTGAATAGAAAACAGCTGAAGTAGAAAAAAAGAGTACCGTATGGAAATTTTTTAAAATTAAGCTTATTGGTACAATCTAGGTATACAATACAGTTACATTCATCATTGGGATCTTGTACCTTTACATAATAGATCTTAATTCTCATTTTTTCCTTTCCCCTTGTCCCTGCCCTCCCTTCACCCCCTCCTCCCCTCCCCATTTGCAAAAACTTTATTTCCATTTTTTCAGTTTCTCATATTTTTTCCTCTCCCTTATTACTTTTCCCCCACCCTTCCCACTTTCCCTACACCTTTAGCCCTTTACTTCCTATTTCACATTATTAATTATCTCATTAGGATCCTGTGTACTATTATAGTTTTCCACACCAGAGAAACTATTCAGTATTTCAGTTAAAGAAATCTCTGTTTGAACATTAAAAATAGGGAATCCTAAAATAAAACTAAAGAGGAAAGTAAAAGAGAAAAGTCAATGATGTAAGATTAAAATAATCCTTAATTCTGAAGATGAAAATGGTCCCTTAACATATTTAAATTGCTTCTTGCTCTTGTAGTCTTGACATGTAGATAACCTTACATATTTAATACAATGTGTTACCCCTGTACCAATGGAAAAATAAAAATTAAAAAGTGAAAGGATAGAAAACAATTCTCCATGTGACAGGAGCCCAGAAAAAAACAGGGGTAGCAATCTTATTTGCAGACAAAGCAAATTTCAAACCAAAACTGATTCTAGTATTATTGATGTAGGATGGTACTGTATCATACCTCTGTGAATGTAAAATATATTGTACCTTATGATGCATAGTAGTGACCGTGTTTCATCAGAGCTATAGTTAATGATGTTTCTCTAGAATGTTCTCTTTCCGGAGGATGATTAAGATGCTAATAAAAAAAATGGCGCCAGGTACCACAACAGCAACAGAACTTTGCTGTTTTCTGGATATTATTCTTTTCTTTGTTTTTTGTTTTGTTTTGTTTTGTTTAATGGAATATGCTGAATGTCTATAATTTTGTTCAGATGACTGCAGAACCTGGAAAAGCTGTTGCTGCTATTGATACATAACATACTGCTATTATTAGTCTTTTTGTATAAATATAAATATATATATATAAATTGAATTTTGGGAAACTTTAACGGTGCTGTCAACTTTGGAAAAAGTTATCCCAATTTACTATGTTGAGTTGGCACTGTACAGAAATGGACAGCCATATTGGTTTAGAAATGGAAATTTTAAGGTCCTTCTCTTACTAAACTTGGTTTGGCCTGTAATGGAAATCCTTATTTAGTTCTCAGCAGCTTAAGAAATGGAAATATTTCTTGATGCAGCCAGGGACTATCCAGACAGTTAAAGGTCTTTGGAAACAGATTTTTGGGGAGTTGTGTAGGCAGTTGAGGCACATTTTCCTGTAAAATATGAACAACGTGAAAACAGCCTAAATTGGGGTATTATTTAGGAGATGGTGACCAGATGTTTTCCTGAGCTATCAGTGCATACTAAGACATGGGTTAGAATTTTAGCCAAAAGAACATAAATGGTAGATGAGGAAAATGCCTGTACTTTTGGCAGGATCAGTCTGCCTTTACTAAGGACTGGTATTTTAATGTAGGAACTGGACATCTTCAACTATGAAGCCAGGAGAGTCAGACACGATTTTGGCATAGTTCTATGTGTTTATTTTCTCTCCCTTTCTCCCCAGTTGGCTGAAACCCTTTCACAGGGCTGATTTAACCTCTGAATAGTTACAGGCTGGGACAGAAGGGCTTCCAGGCAGGGCCTCTCCTCACTTCTATTAGAGATCAAGGCCAGCCAGTTCTTTCCTTCTGCATGAATCTTTCTGTTGCTCTTGTTCTTATTTCATTTTTCTCTTAATTAGACAACATTTTCCCTCTAGTCAAGCAAAATCTTATTAAAAGGGCATGAGAAATACTGTGATAAGCGTACTTTTGAAATTGTGAAGGTTCAAATTATTCAGATAGAGTTACAATCAATTTGGGACATAAACTTGGTAATTATCTGGAAACATTACCACTCTATTTGATGTTTGTCTTTTACTCTGAGATGGAGGAGAAGTGAGGAAAACACACTTTCCCTCCTCGCATTTTCCACATACTTTTCTAATTGGTGTGACATAGAACTGAAGCTTTAGAATCATGTCCATTTTGCAGCTTTATTGGGGATTTGAGGCTGTCTAGTTCTGTCCTTTACTCTCTTGCAGCAGGAACAGGCATGGATCCAGTAAATGATGAGAAAGATACTTAAAGCCTCGGTGTGCATCTTTGCATGGTAGTATCAAAGATACAATTTTGACAAATGGGAATCTAAATACTACTGATACATGTATTTTATATATATGCATATATAATTTTTTTTCTCTCTCTGAATCATCAATAGCTTCATGGTTCTCACTGCCTTATTTCTTTTATGAATTTCATCAAAAACTTTATGTAAAAAATAGGTGATAAGTAAATGAATTAAAAATTGTTTATTTTGGCTTATAATATTCCTTTGTTAAACATAAAGTTGAACAAAGTATTTCCACTTTGGTCAATTAGACATGATTTTTACAACTGAATTTGTTAAATTCTTTTAGTGAACCATTCTTCATCACTATTAAAAATATGCACTCCTCATCATAAGAAGTTTCTATTATTACAGCATGGACAAGCATGGTTATTTATTAATTTGTATCTGTGGACCTTATTTTCTATACTATTTATAATTCTTGCAATAATTACTCGAGCTGAGCTTTTGATGATGAATTAATTCAAGAGCCATGTTCCTTCTGCTTACAAACCCTCCGTTCTGAGGTGTGACTGACCTCTTTCAGGGACCACCCCAACGATAGGTGGCTGGCCTTAGCTTTTATTTTTCTCTCCCTAGCTTGCTACATACAGCTGTACCTTTGCCTCTGTTTGTCATTGCAGCTCCCTCTGAATGTTTTCAATAATTACTTCAGCCTTGGATTCGATGCTCACGTCACACTGGAATTCCATGAATCCAGAGGTGAGGACACCGTCCCATTTCCATCTCCTAGGGAGGCAGTTTCCAGCAGGTGTTTTGCACGTTCCCTTTTGTTTGCATATCGTTTGTGTTTGTGGTGTGCTTCGGTCTTGTTCCATGTCACCTGAATCATGACCCTGGGAGCTGGCTCAGGTGGGAACTGACTTCACATGGGTCCCTGAGACCATTTCTTCAGGATCTCCAAATAGGGAAGGACAGGATCAGAGGTGTAGTCCAGGTCTCAGAACTGTTACTCTTCCAGTTTGACTGGAAACTTTTTAAGTGAGTGAACTACTGTAATAAAGAACCTCTTTCACTAGAGTCATTAGGATACTCATAGCTTCACAAGCCACCAGTGGTTAAAATTCAATGCTCCATACCCAGAGCCATACATACATAGTAGGAAGAACAGAAAAAAAATGGCTTTTTAGAGTATTAGAGGGCTATGGACAGTTTAAATAGAAAGAAAAGGATATGATGATGATGATGATGATGATTGAATTAGATAGAAAGTTACTGGGAACCCCACTAGAACAGTCAGAGGTGTGCATGAGGCTGCATGGTAATTGGAAGTGCTGAAAGGGACTCGGAAAAGACTGAGTGAAGCAAAGCAGTTTTGGAAAGAGAAATAAGATGAAACAATAAGTCTTAAAGTGTTTTCTCCAAATTTTCTTATGCCATTCAGAACAGAGAAAATTTAGGATTTTGATTTTGGCTTGTAGTCTCCATCAATTTCTTTTTCTTGATTTAGCTCAATCTCTTCTCTTACACTCTTACTGTCAGTATCACTGTACCACATATCTCTCTTTATTCCTTTCATCAATAGCTATATTGGTACCTGCTTCCTTGTGAACGTATTTATATATAATCAAATAATTCTAGGATTATGTTGTTAAGAAATGTGGGCAGTGAAAATCATAAATGAGGAGGAACCTTATTCTTTTTGTACTGGTTCATAAAAGCTCACATTGTTTTAAAGTATAGAATTTGAAAGTCTCAGATGCTAGTGATAAGACAAAAAAAAAAAATCTGATGTGGCTCTTAAACACTAGCATTCCCCAGAGGAACTATAGGATCTAGACTGTTAAAATACAAAATATAGCTGAAGTACAAATGTTTGAAGGATTGTACTGAATTCCGCAATTCTGGTAGACTTTGGCTTTCTGGGTTTTAGTGAAGATTTGAAGTGAGAGTCTCTGTGGAGGTTCAGCTCTCTGCCAGACACAGCCATAGTTTGGCCTTCCTCTCTGATTAGTAGGAAAACCACAGAATGCATGGTTTTTAAAAGACCAGCAAATACCCCAAATCAGAAATACTATCCCCATTCCACAAGTTTGTCATAGACAAGTCTTACAGATCATATTCAAAGGGACTTACATTAATGCCAACATTTATGACCCATTGTTCTTCCTATATGTAGTTTGGGAAGTAAATGGGAGATTCTCTTTTTCTTTTCTTACCTCTTTTCCTAACTCTCCTCCCCCTGATATTTTTTAAGAGACTCAATCTTCTGAGCTTCTTAATGCAATCCCCAGGTTCCTTAACAATACTTGCACAGTAGCACAATTACCACTACCATATGAGTTTTCCAGAGTAGGCATCCTGGCATGAAAATTAGCCCAAATGAGTAAGTGTCCCACAGTAAGCTCATCCAGTAATTATTCTGAAAGTTATCTGGATGATATACTTCCTTGTATGTGATAAAATTTCTATGCATCAGAGTGAGAGGAGAGCAAGGAGTGTCACCAAGGTGGGCCATGTTTGGAAGGTAATTCTTTTGGGGAAAGTGATCTTTTTTCCTTGTAAGGTGTGATACTGTTTAATTTTAGAATAGAATGTGCAACTGTTGTTGTTTATATACATACACAATTTTATATGAGTGATTATAAAATAATTGATTTAAGTATATCAAGTATTAATCTCTGAATAGTTTATTGTTGAATTTTCATGTGTTTTAATGTGATATGAAATAGAATTGAAGACATTTTTAATGTGTGTAAGCCAAAGCCTTTGAGGAAAACCAGCCATAAACAACTGCTAAGGGAGAATTTTGTTGGTTGAGAGTAATAGCCACATTCATGAAAGTGAGCTAGAGATCGTGAAAAACAAATATCCACAATTACTGGAACTAAATTTTGTTGATACTATTGGGCTGTACACATCTTATTATCTATAAATCTATTCTTTTTACATTAAATAAAAATAATTATTTCTGCTTGAAAAAATATTAATCAAGCTATTTTTAAAATGATTTCTGTTCCTTTAGAATTTCCCCATGTTTTTCTCTGTTAAGCCAAGAAATCTTAAACTAAGTTGGAGAAGAAAAGCGAGGATAAGTAAGACCACACTTTTAATAGAGGTAGGGCAGACTTTCTGCTTTTGTTTTTTCTTTTTGATATGCCTTTTCTGAAACCAAGACCACTCATAGTGGAGGGTTCAAACTTTCTCCCATGCAGTTATTTGCAATTTGAGGCTTCTTAACAAAATTTGTGCAATTTGCTACCGGATACCTAGAGGGTGACTCAAAGTCTCATGAGAGCCATTGTGAAAATATGAGCTTGGATAGTTAGGTATTAGTAAAAAAATGCAATATTTGAAATTATGCCAATCAATATACAAGTAATGGATAATAAATGTAAATCTTATGAAGTCAGAATTAAAAAAAACTAACTATAGAAGGAATTTTTGGCATAGATGAGAAAATACCCATCAAATAGACAGCTCCTTGCCTAACAACCTATATTGTATTCCTTATAGAAAGATCAATTGAAGTGGCACTTATTTGGGAAGAGCTTATTAGTGCCATTACTGTGCAAATGCTTTTATATTTACCAGTAGAAAATCAAGCAGGAAGTAAGGACAATCATAACGATTTGTTTGATATCATATGTAAAGAAGACAAACATTTGGGTTTCTTTTATATTTGATAAGAAAGGAAGACTATTTTGCTGGGTTGGAAACAGAAATACTTATTTTTCTCAAAATGGTGAAACATCCATGATGGAATTGTTGATCTTTATGTATGAGAAAGTGCAATAATTTGGAACGGAATTTGGAAAGTAATAAGATTGGTCATCTGATTGTCACATGGAATAGTGCCCAGTACTTTCAGTATTTTTACAGTATCACAGTGCTTGAGTGAGTATAATGAAAATGTTCTAATCTATTAATGTTTAGTCCTGTTAACAGTGATTATAGTTATCAGTGACAACATTAGGTCTCACTTTGCCAGCGCTGAGATTGTCATTTTTTGGACATGGATATTAGAAACATCAAATTTTGAAGTCTAAGATCGAATGCTTCTATTTTATGGCCTCGTTGAAATTATTATTCAGAGCTCTTGAACCTTGGGCTATAAGGTCAAGGAAATAGAATCATGGCTACAGAGGAGGCAATCGTATTTAAATTTGATTTAGTATTTACTATTTTCACTGAATATATAAAGACATGCAGATCAGTACATTTCGAATGATTATAAAAGTTCCATGACTCATATCATAGAAAACTGACAGATTTAGTCAAAAAGTTATTTGCAGTGGTTTAGGAAATTTCATCATTGCCATCACTGTGACGGCCATACTACCAGTCTCTTGCCTGGGCACTGAAACTTAAGCAGGTTGCCTTTCAGGAACTGTCACTGTGTGTGGTTCTCTGCAACCTTCCTTTCACCCTGAATTTCTATGTGTCACCTACTCAACATGCAAGATTTTAGTGTGCCTCCCTCTGAAACACTGTCCTGATCATTTCACCACTTCATCTTATTAGTCATCTTTCATACCATATGTACAAGGACATTTTACTTTCATACCTGTCTCCCTCACTGTAAAGTCCATGATGGCCAACGATTGTCTTATTTATTTTTACATTCCCAGTTCCCAGCCCAGGGGCTGTGGCATTAAGTGTTTGATGCAATAGTAGAAGTTTAATTGGAGAGTAGACCTAGTAAACAGAAGTAAACAGCAGTACAGTAAACACTGTACAGTGAAGGCAAGATAAATTGCATAGCAGTAAATGATAGGAGTTCAGCAGGACTGGTGGTAGTGAAAGAGTCTGGGGGAAATGTCCAAACAGTATAGGGGTAACATGGTGGGGAGATAAAGGGAGGAATTTGACATAGATAAAAAGTAAACTGAGAATTAAAATGAAAATTTCTCATAGGAAAGAGAAGTACAGAGGGACAAATGAAGTTGTCAAGGGATGGGTTAGATGAGCTGTTAATAAGTGATGAAAGATTTTGCTGTGGTTTTAGAAAATGACAATAATGTTTAGAAAAAATTTGTCCTAAGTAGATGATGTTGGAAATAGGGAAAGATTTTTAATATATGCAATTTGAGTTGAAGGTGGCAGTGTAAGCATGTGCAAAATGAAGTCTTAAAATTGAGTAGGTAGCCAATGGATGGAATATGGAAGATATGTGAAATACATAAAGTTCAAGTTGCATATTGATTTTTATAAACATAATGTTGCACTTGGATTTGCAAATGTCTCCGTCATATGCCTTAGGCAGAGTAAAGGGGGTGTATGATAGAGCTTCGCAAACTGAATTTATATGTATGTACTTGCATATTTTTAACAGTTGCAAGTGTGGACTGTGAGTTAGGGGACCTTGCTTGTCAGATAATGAATATGTGCATATAGGTGACATGAATGAAATTCCACTCCTGTGAATTTTGGAGTGTATGCTGTCGTGTTGTATGTGTGTTTGGGTTCACTGTTGTATTTTCACTCACCTTTATCTGGGAGCTGGTTTCCCCTTTTAGCATCTCATCAAAAGCAGTTTGGGCTACAATTACTTGAAGCTTGTCAGAGGGCTCTATTTATCATTTTTTAACCAATTCTTACACATTTTAAAGCTACCTTATGCACTTTATATTTATGTAACAGAACCTAATATTACAAGCATTTATTTATGTTATTATTAATAATTTTACATTGTGTATTTTCAGAATTAGAAATACAAGTGCTGACTTTTCAGCTACTTTTCTGTTTTGACATCATTTGGA